ACCTTTAGAAAGGATAAACAATCGTGAATGTTTTACTTTATACAAATGCGGGCGTACGTACGTGATAATATAGAAAAAAGAAAAAAGAAAAAAAAGAAAAAGAAAGGAAGAAAAAATTTTTATCGCCATTTTGTAAATTTTATCGTTACGTTATATCTTATTAATTTAATGTATCATCGATATTTCATACAATTTATCGTGATTATGTCAATGAATAAAATGATATATCATTTATTTACATTATTAAAAAAGATCTTATATCAAAGAGATTATTAGTACGAATAAATTTAAATAATGTTATTATTTTCTTTTTTCCTTTTTCTTTTTCTTTTTCTTTCTTTTTTCTTTTTGCGGGTAAAAGGGTTCAAGCGAACGTCGACAGAGGTCACCACGCTACATTCTTTAGCATTCAAGCAACTTGACTTTCGCGATAGCAATGAAGATGGCGTAGGATGTATCGCAACTCGATCTCGATCGATTATTTCGATCCTTTTTTTTTTCTCTCTTCATCAATTTAAATTTAATACCGCGAAATATAATCTTTTAGATATCTCTCGATCAAATCAGAAAGATCATTATAACGTTATTTAACGTTTTGATATATAAATGAGACATTTATTATCCATTTTTTTTCCTTTTCATTTATTCTTCTTTATCTTTTTATTTCATTCGATAAAATTAAAATTAAGATAAGACATTATATATATATATATATGTACAATTTATTTACATAGATTGATATTAACAATATACGTTTAACTTTTCCAAATGCAAATTTCTATTTTTCAATGAATTAACTATAAAATTTCCATCTAACGAAACGTTTTCACATGAAGGATACTCATTTTGCGTGACCGCAAAATGCGATACGCGCGCGTATCGTCCGCGTACGCGATCACCTTCGGCATTACTTCAACGTAAGTGGTTCGTATTAAAACGAATGACTTAGCGCACTCTCAAACAACAACAACAATAACCGTACGTTGACAGTTAAAGTGTTTACTCTACGAACTTCAAGCGATAAAGAGGAATGAAACGTTACGTGAATTATTATACCGTTTTATTACTTGTTCCTTCTATTAATACTTCTTTTTTCTTTTTTTTTCTTTCTTTCTTTTCTCTCTCTTTTTTTTTCTTTTGTTCTTCTTCTTCCTTTTTATTTATCGCCAATGTCTTTTCTTTCGAAATCTATATATAAAAAAAATAAAAAATTATAGGAATAATAAAATTATTGAAGTATCCCATATTCGTATATATTTCGTTGAATCAATCAGATTCGATTCCTGGCAATGCAAATTTCTGATCAAAGTGTTTTAGCCGCTCACGATCTCGTACAATCGCATATCCAAGCGAGTCGAAAGTGCGAAGCGTTTACACCGGTATTTGAACTTCGTTGATGACGGTAATCACGCTCGCTCGACGCTTCAATTGCACGTTTCGTCGAGTTTCTGCGCCTCGGTTACTTTACGATCGAGAGTAATCCACCATGGTGGTCAGGATCAAGTCCTTCGAATCCTCTTCTCATCGATATATAACAATTTTTTTTCCTCTTTATCCCATTTTCGATTGGTGTCTACTTTCTATTTACAAAACAAAAAAAAAACAAAAAAAACAACAAATATTTCGATACTATCCAATTTCACCGTTGATGGACCGAGTATCGTCGTTCATTTCGTTCGTTCCGCAAAAATTTCGATTAAAAAGAAAAGAAACAAAAGACAAAAAAAAAAGAAGAAAAATGGAAAAGAAAAAGGAGATAAAAAAGAAAATAATAAATTTGCAATTACATTGGAAATGACTTCCTTTTTTTTTTTTTTTTTTCTTTTCAAATTTTCGTAGAACGATCCTTTTGCATGATGAAGAGAAAAGAAGAAAAGAATGGAAAAGGGAGAGGATAAAAAAGGAAAGAAGGAAAAAAAAATTGTATCTAAAATCATTTCTAAAAAAGGGTCAATGACAGATTAGACGAGTTCGTAGCACCATAGTACATATATCTTAGAAAACTTAGAACGCATCTTCGTCGTTATGTCGCAGAAATTCTAACGTTCTTCAACTACTGTGCGCCCACACGAGCATTACACTGAAGAAGTGTTTCTACTATGCGGATGAGCCATTATGGCAAATTACTATTGTTACGACTTCCCACCGCATGTTACCGTAATCTTTTTGACGCTACGAGCGCCATGACGATCTGGATTTTGAATGAGGGAGAAAATTTAAATAAGTTATTAGAACGTTTCTTCCCGATTATGGACAATTCAAATTGTGGAACAATCGTAAAAAAACGATCGTAATATAAAATTATAGATTAATGATACAGACACGCGAACGGATTTTATCACGATAACTTAAGAAAGAAATAATGAAAAGAGAAAATTTACAACATTATAATATCATTACATGAAAAATTACAATTATGTCAAATCACATTGAAAAGAAAGAAAGAAAGAAAAGATCAAAAAAATTTATGCAACATCAATCACGTAATATATAAATAAATGATATTATTATAAATTATAAATTACACTAGAACATAATTATTATAACTATATATATATATATATTAAGCAAAGTTCTTGGGATTTAAGAGGGAGGGGAAAAAAAATGACCTGACGGAACTATTCTTCTTCTTTTTTTTTTTTTTTTTTTTTTTTAGAAAGAAGAAAAAGAAAAAAAGAAAAAGAAGAAAAGCAAGAAGGAAAGAAAATACGCTTATAAGACGAGTATGTAACTTAATAGTAACACGGCGGACATAAGGGAATGTTAAAAAATTGAATTATACTTTGAACTAACAGCACAAAAAAAGGCACAACTCTCACGTCCAATAATGTTACACCGAAGGATGCCTATGACTTAAACCATGGATGTACATCCATATATATATATATATATATATATATATATATATATATATATCTTATGGTTATATTACTCTTATATAGTTACAGGAAGCACGAATCGAATGGTCGCGCCTCTTCGCGTTCACCGGTTCGACCGGAATCGAAGCTCCATCGAAGAGAGTCGAGAGAGTCGATCTTATACACACATATGTACATATATATGTATCCTATGTAAGTTTGTATACATACACATGGTATATACATACACAGAGAGACGACACAGACACAAAGGCAAAGCCCAGCAGTCGGTAAATGCTTTGATGTGGCCGACGCCGCTACCTTCGCCACCCCAAATACCTTTATATCCACCTCTCTCTCTCTCTCTTTCTCCCTCTCTCTTTCTCTATCTATCTATCTCTATCTCTATCTCTATCTCTATCTCTTTCTCTTTTTCTTTCTCTTTCCTCCTTATCCTCCCTCTTCTTTTCCACACGCTCGATCTCTCCCCTCTTCCTCTCTCTCTCTCTCTCTCTCCCTCTCTATCTTTGTATCTTTCTCTTTCTCAATCACAAGGATTGCCAACGGTGTCTTCAAAATTTGTCTCCTCCATCTTTTTATTCATTCACATATTCATTCATTCAAACTCATAAAATTAAAAAGTTATATTTCTAATGAATTTTCAATGGAATGTTATCCATTGAAATTTGAAAAAAAAAGCAAACTTTTATTCTCTACATAAACGAGGAGATATATATATATATATATATGTATATATATTTATGTTAACTTCATACAAGAGACACCTGGTCAGATTCATTAGAGATTAGGCTAAATTTTTCCTTTCTTTTTTTCCCCCCTTTTTCCTTGTTTTTATTCTTAATGACGCAAGCTGCTGGTGCAAAAGGTGACGTTATATAGGTAGTAATTTATCTGCCCTTTGAAATGTTCTAATGATACCTAGGATATTTGTATTTTTTCTTTTTTTCTTTTTTTCTTTTTTTACTTGAAAACTTCTGTTTCTAATTTTTCATAGTACATCCGATCATATTCCGAATCGTGTTGAATGTTATATCGTCATCTGTAAGAGAAAAAGAAAAAAAGAAAAAAATATATTAACAAACCTACAAGTTCCAATTCTTCTAAAAGTAAAATAATTCATCTGATTTGATCTTTGACAAAAAAATTAAAAGAAAATATCTTCGACGTTCGACGATCGATTGGATTACATTCTCTTCCCCCCATTCCTCCCCCCTCCCTATCTTCCCTTCCTCTGCCTTGGAAAACAAAACGAAAAAAAAAGAAAAAAAAAAAAAAAAAGAAAATAATTCACACTCGTACTTGAAGAAGATTATTTAATAATTCTCACAGTGTAATAAGGAAACATTGACGATCGAAAGAACGTGTAATTTAAAAACTCGAGGGAATTATATAAAAAAAAAAAAAAAAAAAAAAAAAAAACAGAAAAAAAACATAAAAGAGAACAAAACGAAAAAAAAAAGAAAAATAGAAAAAAGAAGAAAAAATAATTATCCATGAAGTTGGTAACAATCGAAAAAAGATTTTCTCGTGAATGAAAATGAAATAACGAAGATTTAAGGAAATCCAATTTGACGTTGAGGACGTCGATCAAAAAGGTGCACGGTCGTGTGACGGAAGGCAAAATATACGTCGGGAGGATGCCCGACGTGGCCGGAATGTGGGACGCAGAAAAAGCGTCGGCGTCCTCCTACTGGTAGTAGAAACGATAGCACCAACGCAGTCTCTTGCGTTCCTGCCAGGATCAAGGAAGAGGAGTTGCCTCTTGTGCAGCACCTGTAACGCATAACCGTGCGTCCATCTGTCCAACCTTAGCCATCGGTGGGAAGGCAAAGAGACTCTTCTTCTTCTGAGCTTCTTGCAGTGCAATCAATCGAGCCGCGGCCGTTGCCAGCATTCAACCTCACCCTTCTTTCTATTTAACCTCTTTCTCTCTCTATCTCTCTCTCTCTCTCTCTTTCTTTCTCTTTCTGTCTTCTATATATATATATATATATATTTTTTTTTTTTTTCATTTTACTTTAAGAAAATACAATGTCACTTTACTTTTCTAATGGAACTACTACTACTGGTCTTTTGAAGTCACTAAGACCACTTCCATTAGCTAGATCATTGCTGAACGTTATAATCTTATTTTTCTTTCTTTCCTTTTTTTAAATCACATCAATTATATATTACGCGACAGGGTTCATTTGATCGATTTAAATAAATTTATAAATAATAATTGAAATTTAAGGAGAGATTTAATGCGTATTTTAATTTTTTTTTTTTTTTTTTTTTTTTTTTTTGTTAGATATTAATCGTATATTATTTGTAGTATATACTTCGAGGATTATGGTTATATCGGTGATTATTGACAAAAAATCATTTGCAATACTTCGATGAATTAAATTCAAAGAGATAGAGAGAGAATGAGAAAGAAAAAGAAAGAGAGAGAGAGAGGGAAAGAGAGAGAATACTTTTTGCAAACAATTTCTCTGAATTCTCTTTAACCGACAAGGTCGAAGGAGAGAAGGAACGTTTCGTCGGAACGTCTCCAAGTTCTCGCACGTCACCGCATTACATTCGTCCGAGAAGTTTTTAGCAAAGGAGTTTCGGATAATGGACATTTCGTAGCTCGTGGAAAAAAGACACGCTTACGTGTTCGGTAGAAATTATAAGGATCGTTACGCAAGTGCTTCTCTTTGTGGACAAAAACAATGGCCTTGAACGATTTCACCGATTTTGCGACAACGTGAAAGTGAAATTCGATAATACGATTGATACGACTTTTGTCGTAGCATCGAATACGACACTTTTTTCTTTTTTTCTTTTCTTTTCTTTTTTTTTACTCGAAAGATATCCACCGTCATACACAAAAGAAAATAGAGGAAAAAGAGGAAAGAAGAATGAACGACCAAAAAAAAGAAAACAGAAAAAAGAAAAAACAAGGAATGAGAAAAATATTAGAAATGTTACTCTGTCGAGGGTTTTCTTGCTTTTTCTTTTTTTTTCTTTTTTCTTTTTTTCTTTTTTTTTTTTTTCAGAAGGAGAGTAAAAAGAAAAAGAACGAAAGAAAGAAAACAAACAGCAGAGAAATCCAAGTTCGAGGGATTTAAGGGGAACACGATCTCAAGAAAGGTGAACTACGATGGGGAGGGGAGGGGAAAATTCGTAACGCTTCGCAGGTCAAAAATCTGCATAGTTAAGTACCGTACCTTTTTCTTTTTTTTTTCTCTCCATCGAGACCCGTCTCTCACGAATTTTCCCCGTTGTAGAATTTTCGTCAGAGAAACAATGAGAAAGGAACGGACGGGAGGACGGACGACGGTCAGCGAGAAGACGAACGGTCAGTGACAAGAACTGATGGCGGCCAGGAAGGGGATGGGAAAGAGAGGGAGCGGACGGGGGAGGGGAGGGGTCGCGCGTTGTCACGCTTTCCCCCTCCGGCTTTCTAAAACATCCTCACTTTTTCTTCCTAGATTCTAAGAAATCGCTATATCGAAAACAAATCCGTTTATAGAGGGCGAGAAAAAAGAGAAAAGAAAAAAAAAATAACATTTGAAATTCTATCGCGACGATTTCCCTCCCCCTCCCTCACCCACCCACCCCTAAGCGAATGAATTATTGAATAATTTATCGTTGTTATTATTATTAGAAGATATTATTCATCTTTTTGAAAATCGAAGAAATTATATACATGGTTGACATGTTTGAAAAATAAAAGAGAGATCAAGAAGAAAAAAAAGAGCAAGAAAAGAAAAAAAAAAAAAAAATAAATAAATAAAATAAAACGAGACGAGAATGAAAACTAAGCCATAGGATATTAATTTCTAATAATTTTAATTGCCGAGTAAGCCGTACGTCGAAAAGTTACGAAAAAAAAAAGAAGAAAAAAAAGAGAAAAAGAAAAAAGAAAAAAGAAAAAAGAAAAAAGAAAAGATCGAAAAAAGAAAAATCCCCCGAAGGAATGGAGAATCTTCAATACATACATATATATATATATATATATATATATATATATATATATTCGACGTTTTAAAAGAGTGTTAATTAACAGTAGCGAGATGATAATAGCGAGTGGTGAGTGGGTGGTGGGGGGGACAATGGCGGCAAGTCCTTTGAAATTTCGAACCGTCCCCTCCACCCCGCGAGCTCGAGTTAATTTATTATTTTTTCATATAACGCCATATCTATCCATTCACGTATTCTACTCTATACGTTATATATCCATCACTTCGTATATGGTGCCCCTCGATCTTCCCTTTTTCTCTCTCTTTCTCCCATCCCACTATCATCATCATCATCATCATCATCATCATCATCATCATCATCCCCTCCATGCCACTTTATGCCCCTTTACGCTCTCCCCCACCCTTCCTCACCCGTCAGTCATTCTTTACAAAGCCTTGGGATGGCTACAAAACATAAGAAGAACTAAAATGAAAATGAAACGCGTACGTGAGATCGCAAGGAAACAGGAAGTTAATAACCCCTCCCATTCCCCCCAAAGACCCACCCACCCTAGAATGCAATTGCATCTAACGAGGAGGAAACAAATCTTTGGCGATGATGCTATTTTTTTTTCTCTTTCTTTTCTCTCTCTCTCTCTCTCTCTCTTTTTTCTCTCTTCTCTTTTCGTATCTTCGTTCTTTTTCCACTTTTTTCTTTTTTTTTTCCTACCCTCTCTCTCTCTCTCTCTCTCTCTCCCCTCTTCAAACAAATAATGATAGCAGATATACTAAACACGGATTCCGCAATTGATACTATATAATACAAGATCGTTCGGGGCTTTCTTATTTGCATTTAAACGGGCCGCCAAGGGTTGACAAATGAGGCCGATATTATCGGACAATCGATTGCAATGCTAAGGGGAATCGCTTTGCTTGCATCCGCCTTAACCGATGAATCTCTTAACTTGGCGATTCTGTTTCAGGAAAAGGCCTGAGAAGAAGAGAACAATCGGTCCAGCGACATGCCACTACAAGCGGGTCCCATGTTCCTTGGCATGCCACCTTGTCTTTTTCTCTCTCTCTCTCTCTCTCTCTCTTTCTTTCTCTCTCTGTTTCTCTTTTACAATCTTCTTTACTTTTTTTCTTTTCAACGTCCCACGTGATTCATGTCCTCGATCTATGTCTATGGGAAAGTAAGAAACAAGACTTCTTCGACAATACTCAAGTATTGTTCAATCATATTCAATATTATTTACTCATTCGAGAGAATCTGTAATAACGTTAATTAATTATTTAACTTTAAAGATGAAATCAATACAATTTTTTTCTTCTTTTTTTTCTTTCCTTTTTTTTTTTTTTTTTACCAACAATTCGAAAATAATGTAGCAGTGATCGAGGCCAATTCAATTTTGTTACGTTTGAATCGATATTATATAATTTTTCTTTTTTTTTTTCAATAAGATGAAATTTATATCGATGATAATCATTCAAGGATTAATCTTAATTCTGATTAATAATAACGGTATTGTTAATATAAATATTTAATTTAAAAAATGATCAATATGGATATTGAAAAGGGAAATAGTGAGAGAGAGAGAGAGAGAGAGAGAGGGGGAGGGAGGAGAAAGAGAGAGAATAAAAAAATAAATAATAAAATAAAGGAAGCATGGACGAACGAAAAGTCGTTGATCCAAGTTTCGTCCGGTTTCAAGGTCGAGAGGTTTCTGAACCCCTTGGGAATCGAATCGGATAAGACACCAAGTCGGCGTATGTCACGGAGGAAACTCCTCAAAGGCAATTACAATATTTCCTACGTTGTGAAAGAGGATGGGCTTGGCTGACACTCTGACAGCCCGTAGTCAAATGTTCCACGCTTCCTTGCGTCGAGTCTCCATACAGAAAGAGAAAGAAAAAGAGAAAGAGAAAGAGAAAGAGAGAGAGAGAGAGAGAGAGAGAGAAATAAAGAGAGAGGAGTCCACAAGCTCTGTGTGTCCTTATGCACACGCCTGCTTCCCTAACAGTAATTCCTTTTATGCTTAGCAGCTCGCATACCGCTTAGAGAGACACACGTGTTGCAATTAAGGGACCTTTCACTTGTTTCACAGAACTATGTGGAAAAAAGTAAACAGGACGATGATTCCGCATCTTACTTCTGTGTATGTATGTATATATATATATATATATCACTTTGTGTTTCGATAAAGATAATACGATGATAAGAACAATTATATCCTGATTTTTATAATAATACAACGAAATTATCGAACTAAAAAGGTTTGATCATGACAATATACGTATATATTATATATATATATATATATATATATATATATATATATATATAAATATTGTACACAGTTATATACTTGATTATAATATATTAAAAACCTGTTAGTTCTTTTTTCCTTTTCCTTTTCTGCTTTCTTTTTCTTTTTTTTTTCTTTTTTTTTCTTTTTTTGTACATCCATCAAACAGATACACTCGATCGAATTTTTTTTTTCTATAAATCTATAAATATAGATATTTATAATTTCTTCTTTTTATTTTCTTCGATTTGAACGATTTAATTTCAATGTTACGTATCATCGATGATCTATAAATACAAAAGCGTATAATACTTTTCGTATATTGCAAATGATTCAAATATTATCTAGATTTCCAATTTTGAGATGTGTTTTGTCGATGATATTTTAAAAAGGAATCGATAGATCTTTCCTTTGGACGAGAAGATCGATTTAAAGAGATGACAATGACGGTAATTAATAAATTATAATTGTCATTAATACGTGACACTAATCGAAAATATATATACTTTCGATTTTGTATTTTCTCTCTTTCACGTTTTCGTCTTTTTCCTCCTCACAGTCGTTGTTGTTTTTTCTTGTTGTTATCGTTCTTTTTTCCCCCTCTCCGTTTCTTTCTTTTTTTTTTCTTTTTTTAATTTTTTTCTTTATTTTTTATTTCTAGACAGAACTCGTGACTGACTGGATGATATGCGCTCGCACAGGTGGAGTCGCGTTGCGCAAGCCAAAATCTCATTATCGCGAGACAAAGGTGCGACGATTAATCATCATCATCACCGTGAATCCACGGACACACCGCGGGTATGCTTCGAGCGGAAACGCGAGATGGAGGATCGCCAGTAGAAGAAGAAGACGAAGAAGAAGAAGAAGGTAAGAAGAAGAAGACGAAGAAAACGAGGACGAAGATGAAGAAGAAGAAGAAGAAGAAGAAGAAGAAGATGACTACGACGACGACGACGACGACGAATATGAAGAAAAGGAAAAGGGATGAAAAGCACGCGCGACGTATTCTTTTTTGGAAGATAGAAAAGGACAGATAAATGGAGCCTCGTATACGAATGAGAGAGAGAGAGAGAGAGAGAGAGAGAGAGAGAGAGAGAGGGATAGAGAGGAATCGATTCCATGCGGAACTAAGTCGTTGCATCTTTTGTTCTCTTAGTTCTATCTCCCTGCAACTTTTTTACGATCTTTCCAAAAACTTTTTTCTCCTTCCTCATCCCTTCTTTCTCTCTCTCTCTCTCTCTCTCTCTCTCTCTCTCTCTCTTTTATTTTTCTTTTTTCCTCACCTTTAGTTTTTTTTTTCTTTTTTTTTTTCTTTTTTTTTTTCTATTATTTCCTTCCGACTATCTAGAGAAGCTCGATTTCTTTGGACGATGGGGTGAGTAGGGTGATTCGGGATAGAAGTTGGTAAGAGTAGACTTCGTGAGTAGGGAGTAGTGGAAGAAAAGCGATTCGATGCAGCTCATTTGCGTATATACCACCGAGGAACGCGGATCTATCTCGTTTCGTTCCGTCGTTGACCGAGTTAAATTTGTAATTACGTTTTATTCCACCTTATCCAGAAGCGCGGTTGTTTCGTATGAGAGAAGAAAAAAGGAAAAAGAAAAAGAAAAAAAGAACGAGAAAAAAAAGAAGAAGAGAAAAAAAAAAAGAAAAAATATTTATGGAAGAAAAAAAGTGAGGAAAGAAGAAGGAAGGTGGGAGGGGAGGGTGCTGGGTAGGGGAAGGAGAAAAGAGTAAAATGGAGAGAGCGACGAAGAAAAAAATCTTTCACAACAATATTGTCTACTTTGTTTCTTTTTTTCTCCCCTTCTTCTTCTTCTTCTTCTTTCGACAACTATAGTAGGACATCATTAATAATCATTTCTCGAAGCTCTTGTTACACCACCATCACCACCACCATAATGGAATAGAGAACTGTAATTATGCTAGTCTTCGGAAACTGAGTTTCGCGTTGCTCCTGCCGACAATGAAAAATTCTGCAAGAAGGATTAATTCTCTCATTTATGTAAGAAATATCCTCGAGCTATTCGCACAGCTGTGAAAGATTCTTCTTCTTCCTTCCATTTCTCCCTTCCTTCCTTCCTTCCTTCCTTCCTTTCTTCGTTCGTTCGTTCCTCTTCTTTTTCTTCTTCTTATATTTTCTTCTTCCTTATTCTTATTCTTATTCCTTTTTCTTCCTCGCGAAATATTTCAAGTGAACACACGCGTGGGTCTACTCATCAATCTTGTTTATGCATATCAGAAATTATATGTATGAGAGTATACACCAAGCTGATACACGATATCGGGAGCGCAAAAAGGGTAAACTACGTTGTCGGGCATCAATCTTAACGTGACAAGCTTCTTATGTCATCAACCGGTTTCGCACCGTGAATCTTTTCCGTATAATATTATTAGATATTATCTCAAAACATGCTTATCGTATCTTATCATTATTAAGCAACAGCATTATTAACATTATCATTATTATTATTATCATTATTATTATTATTATTATTATTATTATTATTATTATTATTGTTATTATTATTATTATCATAATTATTATTATTATTATTCTTTAAAGAGTAAATGACTTAGTTTTATAATTTGTCTAATTAATATATATTATTTTCTTACTTTCATCGTTTTATCGTTTCGCAAATAAATAAATAATGATTAATCTCTATGAATGTTGTTGCTTCATTTAAAATTGTCAAAGCCATAAAAAAGAAAAAGAAAAAAGAAAACAAAAAAAATTCATTCGATCGTTTCTCCTTTGTTTGTTTCTTTTTTTCTTTTTTTTTTTTGTATATAAATAAATGAAAAAATCGACAATTTTATCGCTTGGAATTATCAAATTCGTAAGAAAATTTCCTTTCTTCTTCCTCTTCTTTTTTTTCATTTTTTTTTTTTTTTGAACAATAAAGTCAACAATACTGATCGTGAAAAATTTCTGAAAATAATTTTGATAATATCGCTTAGAAAAAACATGAAATCTTTTGCATATACTTTGATATATAATATTTCTAATATTTAAAATTCTTGCAATGTGTTATAATATGCAATATCTTTGCACATACATACATACATACATACATACATACATACACACATATATATATATATATATGCTTATATACAAGATGAAGGTTGAGTTAATACCTATATTCAGGTTTGAATTTAGACTTGCTGTTTTTAATCTCGATGCGTCGTGTGTCACCGGAGGTGGTCCACGATGATGAATGCGAGGCCTTAGGCAGACTTCTAAGATATAGCTGGTAGCCAGGTAGCCGACAACACGCAGCAGGGGGTTCTTCTCACTTTTCTCTCTCTCTTTCTCTCTCTCTCTTTTTCTCTTTTTCTCTTTATTTCTTTCTTTCTCTTTCTTATTACGAATTTACTATATATATATATATATACATAGAAAAAAGATATAGAACCAAGTTAAAATCGACACACGTACGTATGCACAAAAAAAGTGAAAATATTCAATAGAAAATTGATATTACGTAATATTAGCATGCTTAACCAAACATATATCTTGTAAAATAGATAATGGTTATATGCTTATTACGAACTTGCAATTACTATGCGGTTTCTGTTATTTCTTCTTTTTCTCTTCTTTTTTCTCTTTTTTTTTTTTCCTTTCTTTCTCTCTTTCTTTCTTGTTGTTTGTAAGTGAATCAACTTAACCCGATTTACATTATTACATAAAATTGATCTTTCGATTTTAAATATCAACGACAATCTGTAATTAGATAAGTATTTTATAAATATCTTATAAATATCTGTTGTAAGGGTAGAGGAGGAGGTGGATAAAAAAAATGTTAATCATATAATTATTATACGTTGTAATATTATCGATCTTGTAAAGGAGACTATAACTATCTTTACGAGGCGAAACTTATTGTATTAGATCTTGTTGTTGAATTAATTTACTTGTAATTAATACAAATTATTACGTTATTATATAAAATTGATCGTTCAATTTTTATTTTTTTCCCCTCCCCCAAGACAATCTGTAATTACGTATATAAATCTAAGTGATGAAGAAAGAAAGAAAGAAAGAAAAAAAGGAAAGAAGAAAAAAGAAGAGAAACAAAAAGTGTTAATAATAAAATAACAATAACTTGTGTAATTTTATGGCGCTTAAACGAAACGTAAATATTTTGTAAAGGAAACCAAAATAACTATATCTATTTGTACGAATTTATTATAACAGACCATTTATAGATAATGAATAACATTAATTATTAATTAGTACGAATTAAATGTCAATTAAATATTATCGTCGTTACAATTGAAATCTCAATTATATAAATCCAAGTAGAAAAGGAAAAAGAAAAAGAGAGAAAAAAAGAAAAAAGTAAAAGAAAAGAGAAAATATTAATAAGAAAATGAATAAATAATATAATATTATCGCGTTTTAAACAAACGTATGCCCTTTAAAAGAGACAAAATAATTATGCGAGTGTTAACTTGAGTTGGAGTTCAAAAGGTTAAAAATATAGGTAGTAGCCCACGACAAAGGAAGGAGGAATCCAGTAGGAAACACGAGCGAGTTACCCTTTGATGTTACTCTGCTTATAGTACTCCACAGACAGTTAGTATATACGAGAGTAAGTATACACGTGACGTATGGATACTTACGTACGTATATATATACGTACATTAATATGTAGTAGTGAGTAAAGTACAAAGAGAAGTCTTGAAAAAAGGAAAAAAAAAAAAAAGAAAAAACAAGAAACGAGATAGAGAGAGAGAGAGAGAGAGAGAGAGAGATAAAGAAAATATAAAAAGAAAAAAAAGGAAAGAAAAAAGAATTGCTCGATATAAACAGTAATTAAGTAGGAGTGCCGTATGTATACCTTTCTTGTAATATATGCTGTACGAATCGTGGGAGAATGGTCGCCATCGTTACTTTGGAGAAATAAAAGAAAAGAAAAGAAAAGAAAAGAAAGAAAAGAAAAAAGAAAAGAAGAAAGGGGAAAAAGGAAAAGGAAAAAAGAAAGAAAAGTGATCGGGTACGACCTTGGTAGCCGACGTAGACGACGACGAGTTCGTCCGGCGACGACTTCGAAACGACGATGGATCATTCGAAAATACAGGAAGTCGCTAATTCGAAAGACGATTTATAAACGTCGTCGACGTTATAAATCGTAATTGTAATTAAGGATAATCTATTTTTAAATACATCTCGATTTACTTATTTACTTTCTTTCTTTATCTTCTTTCATTTCTTTTCTTTTTTTTCTTTTCTTTTCTTTTTTTCTTTCTCTCGTTCGTTCTTCGTTTATTTTTGTCCAGAAAGAAAATCCCACGGATCGAAGGATCCAAAATCGAAATTGGTTCACGAAGTTGAGATGTTTTTCTCTATCATTTTTTTTATTTTTTATTTTTTTTTTTCGTTTTCTTTTTAACGCCAACGATCGCGAGAAAAAAAATAACTGATCCCCTCCGCCGCTGAATTGAATTCTTCTTTTGGCTTTTTTTACATTTGGAGTAAAAAAAAAAAAAAGAAAAGAATTTAAATAATATCGTAGACAGATCTTAAATCGACTTAACAGTCGCGCGCGTCGGCGTTTAGATCGATATCTCGAACGAAATCCTCGTGCGAACGAGATTGTTGCTTCGATAAAAGATATTTCATTCTCTCTCTCTCTCTCTCTCTCTCTCCTCTTCTTCTTCTTCTTCCACTTCTTCTTCTTCTTCTTCCTCTTTAGAGGATTAACTTAGACATTGACTTACCTAGGATATCATTAAGAGTCCTTAAACGTGCCGGAGAAGCTTTTAGGACTACTTCCTGTTCTTCTATGACGAAGGGATTTTTTTTCTTCTTCTTCTTTCTTTTTTCTTTTTTTTTTTCCTTTTCTCTCTACCTTTAGCCTCCCTCGAAATAGAGAGAGAGAGAGAGAGAGAGAGAGAGAGAGAGAGAGAGAGAGAGAGAGAGATGAGATCTTCTATTAACCTATGTTGTTTCAGGAGCATCCCTTTTTTTTCCTTCAACATTTTCTTTTCGAAACCTTTTAAAAGAGACTTGTTAAATTTTCTTACTAACTATTTCAAATCCAAGCGATTTCTCAATCGATGATTATATTTCCCCATTGGGAGCCTCATGCTCCCAGTTTTGCATGGGTATCCCTAAGTGGAGTTAAAAGGGCGGGTCGCATCCCCATGACAACGGTTGGCCTTGCTGATAAATCGACTTCGTACACGGTACGTAGAGACCCCGCGTGAAATACGATTCTTGTATTGCCCTTATAAAATATACGAGACAAATTCGCATTACAATTAAAAACAAAATGTCAAAATGTTAAAGAGATACTTTATATTGAAACAATTATCTATAATATATATATATATATATATATATATATATATATATATATAGGTAGATAGATAGATAGAATAGAATATACATAAGTTTCAATAATATAATCACGATATTGATATAAATAAATATTATCATTAGCGTGAAAGGAAAAATCTTTTGAAATTCGAAGGGTGCGAGTGGGAAAAGGAAGAGAGAAAAGAAAACAAGATGAAATCAAAAGAAAAAAAAAAAAAAGAAAAAAAGAAAAAAAGGAAGAAGGAAAAAAGTGAAACGATGGGCGAGGAAAGGAAAGGTAAAAGGAAGAAAAAAAATGAAAAAGAGAGATAGATAGATAGATAGATAGATAGATAGATAGAGATAGAGAGAGAGAGAGATGTAATACACTACTCTCCTTTCGAGGAAAATTTTCAAGCAGGAGGAAGATGGATCTGCTAGGAGAAGTCAGCGTGCTCTTGCAAATGTATCGCAAATTGTCGTTGCGAAGTGCTTAATGTAGGAGGAGGCAAGTGAGGAGGTGTAGATAGAGGTGGAGTAGAATGAGGAGGATGAGGAGGAGAGTGAAAGAGGAGAAGGAGAAGGAGAAGGAGGAAAAGGAGGTGGAGGAGGAGGAGGTGAAAGAGAAGAAGGAGGAAGAGGAGAAGGAGGAGGAGGAGGAGGAGGAGGAGGAGGTGGTTGACGGTGGTGGTTGCCCGTTCGTAGTTGTCGATATGCTAGCAAAGTGAAGGAGAGGAACGCTCTTTAGACGAGAAGGGAGACGACGACAACGACAACGACAACGACGACGACTACGACAACGACGACGACGACGACGACGACGACGACGACGGCGACGACGACGACGAGGACGACGACGACGAGGATGACGAGCCCATTTCGACGAGTCACACCCGCCCACGCCAACGGAATTCGAGATTTGCTTGACGTCAGATAGAATGAGAGATAGATAGAGATAGAATGAGAGAGAGAAAGAGAGAGAGAGAGAGAGAAAGAGAGAGAGAAAGCTATATAGGAAAATCGTGAGAGAGTAACGACAACAACGCGACGCAACGTTGACAGCAACTCGAAGAGGACAACGGCAGCAGCACCCTAATGGTTTCGTAATGTCGCATGAACGAAGAGTACGAAAGTGTGAGATATATATATATATATAGAGTGAGAGAGAGAGAGAGAGGTAGGGTGAGAGGCAGAGATAAAGAGAAAAAAAGAAAGAGAAAAAGAAAAAGAGAAAGAGAGAGAGAGAGAGATAATCGACTCACCGAGGAGATCTTCGGTCGCAAGCTTTTCTTTGTCGTTCCGGTTACGTTCCGTGGCTTTTCCATACGAACAAAACGCATAACTCTCCTCTCTGGTGGCAAGGAGGAAAACCATTTTCCAGAGGCTTTGCGAAAAGGACGAATTTCACGAGAAGAGTGCAACTTGGAAGCGTACCATTGGATATGCACCTATCGGATAGGTATGCGCACCAATCGTATCCTCCATCGTCCATCATCGACGATACTTCTTCTAATCCATCCGAAAGACTTTCTTATTTTCTTCTCACAATTTCTTTTCCTCTCTCACTTTTTTCACCATTCATACTTAACACTCTATTCCGTCACCTACATCAAACTACAATTCTCTTTCTCTATATTGCACTTGTTCTACATTCCTATTTTTCTTAAGATCTTCGGAGAATTTCTTTACCACTTTTTAGCCCTTTTAAACTCGTCATACTCATATCGGTATGTCAGTATATTTAAAAAAAAAAAAAAAAAATTACATATTATCACACATTGCTTATCTTTCATTTCTCCCTTGTCTCTTTTCATCTCATTAAAATTGTAGAAATATTAATGAAACTAAATTGACAGGTTTATCGTAAATTTATTCATTTCTGTTTAATTTCCTGCTTAATTTCAATTGTCTTTTAATTTTTTCCTCTCCCCTTCCCTCCTCCCATGCCATTATTTAAAATCATTTCGAGATTTGTCTTACGATTTGTTTTCCTTCGTAATTTAATTATATCGGTATATATTTCTTGAAGATTATAAAAAAAAAAAAATTATCCTTCCTACGTAATCCACGTAATTT